ATATTTTATATTTAGTATTTTTAAATTTTAATTTCTTTATCTGATAGATAATAATGAACGTTTCCGATCATGCACATGATTGTCTAACACATAATTTACATATTTTTTGTGAAAATAGATAAAACTCAATATGGCCATGTTTATTTACAATCTATAATGTTTGTAATTTGTTTAAATCAAAGAACAAGAAATATTAAAATAGACCTAGAGTGAAATTGTTTTACATAAAACAATTTGTTGCGTCAAATTTATTGTAATTTTTTTTTTATCTGGGTGTAAAGTCTCAAAGTGTACAAGCATATATAGGATGTCGTTTTTAGATGGACCGGCTGAATTTCTCTTGAGCAATGACGTCAACAAAAAAGAAAAAATACGTTTTCATGTTTTTTAGTCTAGTTTCAAATTTTTGCCTTTTTTAAGAGAAAAATTATACAGGGTATCACAGGTCCAGTTCAGCATCAAAATTTCAACTACGACCCTATATACTACTACTATATGTCTTTATTGTTTTATATATATACAAAGTTTACAGATCGGCAGTATATATTACAGAGCAAGAAAGACGTACCTCATGGTTTAAAACTGTCTGAGGGAGTCTAGCACATAAACTTATATAACTAAAATCTCTCTTATTTACAAGTAATTATAATTAATATTTACAAAGGGAATACATACTTTCTTCAAAAATTTCGGTAATGTAATAATAGAACATAATTATATAATAATAGCAGAAACATGATTGCAAATATCTCTTATTTATGATTACCTATAGTGCACATAACTCAATAATAAAATAAACTAAAGTAAAGTAAGTGGGAATAATAAAAGTAAAAATAAATAATAATGCAGTACATTATCTACCACAATAGATAATAGTAAAAAACAAAACAAATAATAAGTGTTTAAAATATAATATTCAGGTCGAAGATGAGCTTTTCACTTATTCAGGGGAATCCGACAAAAGAAGCCGCCTCCACCCTCACCAGGTGCCTCTGATTCTGGCTGTAAGAGAATAAGCCTCTTTGCAGAAATTTACCATGACAGCCCAATCCTTGCCATTAATATATTCTAAATAGCAGAATCTCACTAGACAGAGTTTCCCTACCAAAATAGTGTTTCCTGACAGCGGTCAGTGCAGGGAAAGTTGCCAAGAAATGGAACAAATCCTCCCGCTCTGTACCACTACAAAGTTCACAGTTAATATCCTGCGTTTGAAGTGTTTGTAGTTTAAGTTAAACAGATCCCCCGACACTTAATTATCCACCGCATGCTATCTAAGGGTAGCGAGAGATCCATTAGATAATTTGGGGATTTGAAAAGAAGTTCTCTATGGAGTGGGAAACGGTATGAATTGGCCAAAGCTGTGTAATATTGCCTCTTTATATTGTCACAAATGGACCGTCTAACTAGTGTCAAACCATCCCTCCACAGTTCAACTCTGTCGATATTGTTCCGGTCTAAGGACAAGTCCAAATTAAATTGCATGTTATGCCTTTTTATTTCCTTAAACCAATACATTCCTTTATCTACAATCTGCTTGGCTAGGATCTTCGGGAGTCTATTATCTGGTAGGGATAAAATTCTTATTATGTAGTCGAAGTGAAGTTTCACAGTGTAGAGAAAAATTGGCAGGAGACCCGTCTCAGCTAGAGGAAGGCTGTGGGGGCGTACTGAGTCAGCCTGAACAGCCTCCTGATGAAGAACCGTAGAAACCCCTTTACCTGTCCAAACATCTCTCCTCCCCAAACCTGAGCGCCGTAGCATAAAATAGACTGCTGACTGTGTTAAATATTTTTAGCTTAGTCAAGTACGCAATATCGCCGTTGTCTCTAAGAGGTCTCCAGATAGAATTTAGTCCCATCCTTGCTCTATCCATCGCATCCGTAACAAACGTTCATTGACAGTGCCGGCGTGAGTCGGATTCCCAAATACCTATACTCATTCACCACCTCTATCTCCTCAGTTTCTAAATACCACCTCTTACCTTTCGCAGGTCTACCCCCATTTCTGAATACCATAATCTTAGATTTATTCAGATTTATTCTTAAGTTCCATCTGAGGCAGTACTGTTGTAAAGACCTGATCATTCCCTGCAAAGAGGCAGGGTGTGAGGCGAGTAAAACTATGTCATCTGCATAAGCTAACAACTTGATTCTGCCACTACCCTCCACATACATGCGTTCCCGGTTACTCATCGTCAACAAGACAAGAGGATCTTTAACGTCCGCACCTAGCCTATTCGGCCTTATCGGACTTTTGATTCTCAAGATGAGAGCTGACGCACCTCCACATACGACGGAATGGTGTTATCGCCGCAGCTTTGGTGTAGTGGTGTCCCGGCCCCTAAGGGTCGGTAGCCACGCTCTCCGCTTGTCCACTCCGAATGGTCGGGCCCGCATTGTGCTTCGGGTCGTACGCCGCACGCGAGGGGCTAACGGGCCGAAATACATCAGCCCGTCCCCCCCTCACGTACTCCCTAGATAGAGAAGGCGACTCTATCTCTCTGAGTGTAGAGGCTCCTCCAGCGTAGAAACTTTCGGGAACGCCCCGACAGCGGTTTTAGTTTAGAGTGGGATTGCTACCCACCCCCTAGATGAGCACTGTCTACGGTAAAAAGTCTCTTATCGAGCTCAGCCTACACCTGCTGCACGCATTCAAGGGACGCCATAGGGCTAGCCTAGGTGGTCCGATCCTTCGCTTCCCCAAGGGTACCACGCCGGTCATACGCACAACGCACAACGCAAAGCATACTCGAGTCAAAGACGCCGACTCACTACCCTTTTCCAATCGCTTACTTACGCATTCGAGGGACACCCTCCACATACACAACACCATCTAAGCATGCCTCCAAATCATTAATATATAACGAGACCCTATATATCCTGACACAAAATTTTAAAGGTTTCTTTACGCCGAAAAAAATGGTGCAAATTGATTTTAAATTGGCCAAAAGAAGACAAGGGTATGGCAAAAAAGTTGGGTCATTTGGTTTGCTGTTTATTAATCACATTTCATGTTCGAAGTGCCTGCTTTACAAATATTTACTCTTTGTAACCACTCTTCACCTGTGTCCAGAGTGATAGAGTCGGGGGAGATGTGTTGACAAACATTTTCTATCCTTTGCTGAAGTTCTTCTTATGATTGGCATAGAAGCTGGTTTTGTAAATAGTCCCCAGAGAAAATAGTCAAGTGGAGTTAGGTAGAGTAACCAAGGAGGAAGGACAACAGATCGGGCCATGAGGTCCTATCCACCTATCGGGCAATTGACGATTCAAATAACCTCTCACCTGCAAAGAATGCATCAAAAGCTGAAGAATCATTTTTTGTCGTTGTTGCAGAGGAACATCATCTAATAGTGATAGTGAAACCTCCCTTGAGGAACTGAGCACCATTTAAATTATATTCGTAGAAATATGGCTCAATTAATTTATTTCCGAGACATCCACACCAAACGTTGATACTGTGAACCACCTGATGATGAAAAGTGTACAAAATTCGTCGGATTTTCCTCTGCCCACGTTCAAAAATTCCAGTGGCTTAGTATTGCGTTAAAGGTTGATTTAGAATCATCAGTCTATAGGGTTTATGAAATAACGTTTTCTTCATCCTCCCTATTCGACATTTGTGCAAGTAACGTTAGACTCCTGTCAAAATCAAAGACCCGAAGTTCCTGAACAAGATGGGAGCGATACGGCTAAAAATGTAGGTCCGGAGTACATGTCTGAATTTATTTTTTCAAAAAACCGTCCAACATTTCCGAGAGAGGGATTCAGATTTTTGCGAACATAAAATAAAATATTCAGCTGCCCGTCGGAATTACGCTGCCAGTTTCATTTTGCCATATCTTTGCCATTTTGTGACCAATTTAAATTCCAATTGCACCACTTCAACGTAAAAAATCCTTTAAAATTTAGCGTCAGAGTGTATAGGGCTGTATTCGAAATTTTGAAGTTGAACTGGTATTTCTAGCTTTTTTTGTGGGTAGCATCATTGGTCAAAAATAAATTCAGTCGGGCCAACCTAAAACGGACACCCTTATAAGAGTGGAAAGTTTGATGGACGACAAACAGCTGATATCATCGCCGGCCCTCTAAGTGTTTGTACTTATTTTCCTAGTTTTTCGCGAGTATTTTTCACTCATAGGGGCACTAGATCTTTTACGGTGTCTATCGTTTTGTATGAAAACTAAGTTGGTATCTTCTTAAAAAGAAAGCATCTCATTTCTACCTCGGGTTGTCAACTGCAGAACAGACACTAAACGTACAAAAATAAACGTCAGGTCAAATTCACTTTTCCAGCGTACTCGACCTTCTTAGGTGTGGTGTTAAAAAAACCCTGTTTCACGCGCATAAATTACATTCGTTCCAATAAATTAACATAAACACAACAGTCGATAAAAACATAAAAGTCTGGTCACATTCACTCCCAAAAATTACATATATTTTTCAGGCCGGGGTCAAGTTCATTCCATTCTTCCAAATGACTACAAACATTATAGTCTTCTAGTTTTCTTAATTTCAAGAGGTGACTACTACCCAGCTAACTTTTTTTAATAAACATCTTGACATGCCATATGTCCATAAAGGAATTTTTTTTTTCGACACGTTCAACCCAATCCTAATATTGCTCTAAACTAACCCTTCAGAGACCTCTAAATCTTTAAAAATAAAGAGGCCCAATATGCAAGAGAGCTGATGCCCATATTACATTTTGAATTATAATGCATAATTCGCAATTTATTTATTATTTTGTTATAAATTAGTACAATCCAACTATCAAGTTGAATTATTTCGAAAGAAACTCTGCTGTGTTTCTTCTCCCTCATTGTAAGTTATATGAAATTAGTATAGCAATAGCAGCAAATATTTTATTCCAATTTTCTGCACTCCATTGAAATATGTTTATAAAAGACGTAGAAATATACCCATCTTTCGTCGAATAGTATAACAATGTGACATTGGCCAATTTTTAAAATTATAAAACTATTTTATAAAAACGAACTTAGAAAACAGTAATATGCTATTCATTCGTTTTTTTTTAAATCAATAAGTTTAAAGTATCAACGTACTCCTATGAAATCGTTCTGTAAGTAAATTTTGTCAGACAAAAAAAGTTCTGGTAATACATTTTTTATTGCATTTTTTACATTATTTTCAAGAGAAATCATTCATGACTGGTTTGGCAGACCTGTTCCTATTGGTCATGTTGAACTTTTTCTTAAATCAACCACATCCTGAAAAACCTGACGAATCAATAGTTGTGGAAAACGTAGAAAAGGCTCCAGACATTCCGAAAGCGAAACAGAACAGGTGGAGGGCCTTACGATTTGATGCTAAACGCAAATGTATTGTCTTGTCCATCGTACAAATGGTGAGTGTTAGTCCTTCTTCAACCACAAACGATCATTCCTCACAAAGTTAAAATTTGTCAAACTCTCCAAACAAACAAAAAGAAAATAGTCTTGGTTTTCTTACAAAAAACGTAAAAATAACTCTCAGCTGCTGTTTAAAATGTTACAGATGAATTAAATTTCCATATTTCATTGATTTTATGAATTATTTAATTTATTGAAATGTCTCACTGACCAAAAATTCTTTTGTGACTGTTTTAAAAGGCAGAATGCTTTCTTAGGTCAAACAAATGTTCATAGGATTACTGTTTGAAATAAAGATTTTACCAAACCAATATTATATTTAAATAATTCAGTACCCAGTTAATTAAGGCCAATAAAGTCATGGATGAAGGTGGTAAACCAATCTCAGGCGTAACCTTTTTCCTTCAATCAGCTGAGGCCATCGCCCCTCCGCGTGTTTTCCTTCTTTTTCCGTTATTTCATTTATTATATGTTTATATCCATTAATTATGCTTTTTATCCAAATTATTGGTTGAGATGAAAAGTTAGTGTCATAAGTGGGATTCGAACCTTCGATTTTCGGTTCAATATTATATATTGAATATTGATATTCCTCGAGTGAGGATAAACAACCCATTCCTTTCACGCTAATAAATCACATTCGTGCACATATATACACCCGATACAACATAGAAGTTTGGCCATATTCACACTTCACAGCTTTCGATATCCCTCACCGCGGGGTTAGAAAGTGATATTGTGCTTATATTAATTAATAATCAGGGCTAGCCTAAAATAGGTTTATGACTTAAACTATTTTTTTCTAACTAAAGGACAAAACACATTAAGCATGTTTGTTTTGACCACTGACGGTAATTAAATGATGTAATACTTAAGTTCTTTATAAAACAACCTTAATCTGTTTTTAGGTGATTTCCGTAATATATTGCGTTACACCGTTAATTGATATATTCTATTTTAGCGAATATTTTGTTAGGCGGATGGGAATATTTCTAGGTAAATATGAATAAATTAAATAATTAAGGACCCTCATTGTATATTTTTCTTAGGGACTTTTCTGGTGCCTACAATGGTGACTGTGAATACTTTGCTATATATTCTAGATATATTCATGCAAGGGTTCTTCTTGTATGCAGTAAAAGAGGTAAAAGAGGACATTATGATATGTTTAATAAATACAATCTTTTTTAATATGAACCGTTTTTCAGGCGAATGTACGCTACGTTCAAATAGTAACAGTTTATTCGGTATTTTCGCCGTTATTGGAAGCGACAAGAGTGATTATTTGCGTCAATTTCGAATTCATCGCGGAGGTTTTGGCATTCAGCTGTGCATTATGTAATTCTGATTGTCCGTCTGTGACAAACCGGCCAATTTGTGCTAATATAATATTTTCCGTTTGACTTATCAGTGTATAGGTTGCTATTTCTGTCCACCCTGCATCATTACCGGAGGACTCTTTCCACTTGTCAGGCCCCCTTCCTTCAGGAATGATATTGCCAAAATACAAAAATGGAAAAAGGAGATAACACATTTGTCAGTTGCTATTTTAAATTTATCTTATAATATTTAAAGATTATAATTAAATAAGATCAGTAAAAGGAATATAAGTTAAAAAGAGGTCGAATGTTTATTTTATTTCCGTTCTAAAATAAGAAAAATATCATTAAGCATTTGTTTACCTTCTCCTTGTCAAAAACAGTGCGCGTTCACTACTCAGACTGAGGAGGGCCTACAGCCCACCTCAATTCATCTGTTCAATCTGGACTGGTTAGGCCTAGATACAGCTCTATGATGTAGTTATTGAAGGAGGCTTTAAGCCCCACTATAAAGTATATTTCCATTTATATTATATTTCGTATATTTAGTTGCAGTTCGTCGTCCTAATATTCGATCAAAAGTTACTGGCATTCACAGATCGAAGCTGTTATAGTTCGTTGCAGGAAAACACGCAGATTACTCAGATATATTGGTCATTTCATGTGGGGACAGGACAGTGAGACTACTAAAAGTATTGAAAGCCTTGCTCTGGTCAAGAGGGTTCTACGGATACGGCCTTTCCTCGGCACGAAAAACTCGTGTCTTGCGGTTTCGACAGACTCTACTGTCAGGGATTGCGAGCTATGTCAGGCGTGGTTAGAAACAGTCCTTTGGCCAGCCTCTGCTACCAGTTGGGTGTGTTGTCGCCCGAATTCCGGCTTAATTACCGGTATGAGGCTGGTTTCTTGGCATGATAATGAAAAACAAGCATTTCCAGGAATTTCTTCCCGTATATTCGGTCGTCCTAAAAAGGACAATGAGGATCTTTAACGTCCGCACCAAACCTATTCGGCCTTATCGGACCTTTTGTTTCTCAAGATGAGAGGTGACGCACCTCCGCATACGACTGAAGGGTGTTACTGCCGCAGCGTTGGTGTTGAGGCAGCTCAGCCCCGAGGGGCCAAGACAATCTCGCTCCCCGCTTGCCCATTCCGAGTGGTCGAGTCCGCATTAACCATCGAACCTTATGCCGTGCACAAAGGGCTACCTAAGCCGAAATACATCAACCTTGTCTCCCGCGCACTCCCTAGATAGAGAAGGCCATTCTACCTCCCAGACTAGTGAGGCTTCCATAGCGTTCCAATCCATTTCCACGTATGTGAGAGACTTCGAACTCGGACACGACCCAAGGCCATTAGAGGACCGGTTAGACTGTTGAAACGGTGCGTGAGCTTGGAAACCGGCCGTACTCGACCAGAGAATATCTTGCAGTACTAGCCGATCCTATACACACATGACCTCTACCGTGCTGCGGTTCCTGGAACTCAGATCGGAGTACGCCGGTTTTCGGCTCGTCTATACGGAGTGTGGCCTGCGCCCTGCATAGATGAGCCACGTCCTTTCCGCAACTGCGTCACTGTAACGTGTACACGGCGGAGCTGTATGCAATTAGGTACCACTTAGTGTGATTCGAGACGATGAGGGGGCTGATTATCTAGTCTGTACGGACTCCCTGAGCGCGGTTTCGGTTATTCATGCCAGATTCACAGTATACCCTCTCGTCGTTCTCTTATTAGAGAGATTTGATGAATTGGAGTGTCCCGGAAAACATAAGTAGTTCTTTATGCACTTGTATGTTTGACTGGAGGACAACGTACGTGGAGACAAAGTGGCGCAAGCTGGGAGGTATGCCGTCCAGACAGAACCACCGCAGTCCGGCCCTGTGACGCCGTACGAGCAGTAAAGAACACAATAAAAGAACGTTGGCAGAGTCGATATGCTTGATCGTCCGAAAAGCTTTTTCTTGTCAAGCGCAGGAATGAACAATGGCCCGCCGAGGATCTGAAACGGAAGGAAGGAATCATGCTCACCCGTTTGAGGATAGGCCATACTCGATTGCCACATGGCAACCTGAGGAAACCCTGCACAGTGTGTTTCGCCGGGAGTGCCGTGCCTAGGCTCCTCGGAAGCGAGAAGGTCCTATACTTCACCGGAGGTCGTGACCCCGTTTTGTGGCAGCGTCGCTCGTATCCGCCTTAAGCCTAATACCCTCGAGATCGTCGTTTCACAACCTGCAGAGTTAAGTAATCGATATTCCTTCATCCTACACAAATATCAGTAATCTACTCTAAATGGGAGTCGATACGGTGAGTCACTTTTATAAATATTCTGCTATCGACCCTAGACAAGCACAAGCAGTTTGAAGCCCGGCGCGCTTTGTTGTCCAATTTCCACTACCAAAAATGGCGAGATCTGAGACACTTCTCCCTTCCGGAAGTTCACAGCCCTTTTTACCAAACAGTTTTAAAGAAAAGAACAACCCGGAAACAACGGGATAGCTTTAGATAATTTAGCAGCCAATCAAACCACATCTGCCTCTCTAACCTTGTCCAGTATGCTCTGTCGCAAAGCCCATTTTGCTCAGGTTCCTCACCAACCACGCCATAAATATTCCCCTCCTATGAAGCAAGGGTGTACAATAAAATACCTTCAGAACCATGGAAAATTTCGAAAACAATTCCTTCTCCGAGAGCGCCAAACCACCACCAATATTTATGACCAATCAGGAAAATTTTCCACGACAGCTCCACCAGCAAATAGGAAGAGACCATACCTCAACCGAATGACCGACACAAAAATAATCCCTACAACTGTGGAATCGGACAGAGGCGCTATGGCTTATATACCCAAGTCTTGGGTTCACGTGGTAGACACCCTTTTGAGTATTTCAGCGAGTCCTTGGTCTGAACATTGGAGGAAACAACGGTGTTTTTCAGGGGCTTTTATTACACAACATATTTCTTTTGTACAAAATTCATAGTTACGTCTAATGTATTTATAGTTGTCTCAATGTAAATGGTTGTGCAGTTATCATAGAAGCTTTTGAATGGTATTTATACGACAAAATATCTATTTATGAAAAATTAAGTATGCGTTTATATGTTCAGTTTGTAGACGGCATTTGTTAGAGCTGAAATGACTAAACATTTGATAGCACGAACTCTGTTTGATAGACAAAACCATAGTTAAACCCAAATTGTAGAAAACAGAGGGGTATGTGATTTCTGTAAAGATTAAAGTTTATAATACTCATAGTTTTAATACCACCATTGTTTATTATTTTACACAATATGGACTCTACTGTTAACGTAGTGCAATATTTTTACATTATTTTAATGCATCTGACATTGTACAATATGATGACAATTTTATACTAAATGTTGTTGAACTTGCGTACAATTGTAAGAATTCTACAGCTATTGGTGTTTTGACACTGCCATTATGTGAAATGTTGTAAAGTGAAATCAAATTTTCTATTTTTGGTTCTCAGGTCGTCTCTCCGTTGGTCCGTTTTTACTTATAATGCTTCACCTAAGGAAAATATTTAGGACATAGCCTTTATGATGTTGAAGTAGGTATATGCAGAATTGATAATCTGAAAAATGAAGTCAAATTAGAGTTTGATTTGATGGTTTGTTAATTTTTAGTAATTAGCGTAAGAAATCCGTACGCCTGAAAACATCTCCAGATTCAATTCAGAAAATCCACCAGCAGAAAGGGTAATAGGCTTTTTTGATCTTTCAACAAGTATCATCATTTCCGTTTTGAGTAAAGAGCTGTATTTTACCCAATTAGATTCATAAATTGCACTTCCAACAGCTACAGACTGTAAATAATTACAACTAAATTTAAATTTATAACCAATAATAATAATAGATAATGTTTACATAATTCATATAAATATTTATGTGGAATAGAGGTTAAAAATAAATTATTCAGATATCGTGAGATGCGGTCTGGTGTGATGTAGGTTTCAGAAAGACATTTTCTTTATCGTGCCAACGTTTCGATTTTTATTGAGATCATCTTCAGAGCCTGGGATTTACAAACATTGTTTACATTTAACAAATACATTTAGGATGTGGAAAAGTGAATTTATACAATGCAAAACATATTCTATATTCTCAATCAAAGTATTTCTACTCACTTAAAGTGCTTGTCTTCTGTGTAATTGTGCCATTCTTGCGTGTCGTGTCGAGAGTGCCAGTGAGATTTTGCTGTTTCATGTTTATATATGTTGGATTTTGAAGGGGTGGGGAAGGAAGTCGGTATAGAAAAGACAATTTTGTATAAGGCGTCGGCTTCTTTGAGGTGAAAAGAGCCGACAAAGAGAAACAATGTGTTGGTAATGGTTCGGCCAGATTATACTATCAGCACATTATAGAAAGGAATAAATAGGAAAATAACGTTAAAAATAAAATTAAATATTTTTTAGAATGCATAGAAAAGAGAAGGTGAGCAATTTTAATGATAATTAGGTTCGAATTTACATTTACGTTAAGAAAAACAGAATGTACATAATAAATTAATTATATTTATTCATTATTCTTCGTAGAAAATGTATTGTTTTAGTTTATGTTTTTTGGCAAAAACAAACAATCTGTTTGTTGTTTGAAGGTACAGCTCGTTTTAGCATTATTAAATCTATTATTTCGCTTTTGATCTATTTTTTTCTTTTCTTGCTTTTCATGCGTCTCTTTTTATTTTGTATTGTAGTTTAGTTTGTATTGTATTATATTGTATCTCGTTCTTCTGTCTATAATGTTTTATCCCTCTCTCTCTTTTTTTTCTCTCTCTCTCTATCTCTCTCGCTCCCTCTCACTCTCTCTCACGCTCTCTCTCTCTCTATCTCTCTCTCGCTCTCTCTCTCTTCTCCCTCTCTATCTATCTATCTATCTATCTATCTGTCTATCTATCTATCTCTATCTATCTAGCTGTGTATCTATCTTTCTTTCTTTGTTTTTAGAAATGCTGCTTGTAGCTTATCAATTATGGATTAAAATTTTTACAACGGTCTTCTTAAAGGAAATAGTGGTTTGAACCAAATAAACAGCGTGACACATGAACTAATTATGATATAATAGGTAAATAAATTTAATTCTAATGTAAGACTATACAATGGGTAAATTTATACGAACACACAATATAGTAAAAAAGTTGATATATATATATATATAAAAATGCCAACATATAGTATAAGATTATATTTAAATGCTATCACTCCTAATCTTTTGTGTCGAGCTCAGGTAAAAATATTTTTATTAATTCATAAAGTGTTTCATTACCAAATCGGAAAACTGACCACTGTAGTAGCAGTAGAAATAAACGTGTATAAGTTCTAATAGAATTAGTATAAACGAGGATGCTTTTAGGGCTTCAGAAGTGCCCGGCTGAAAAATATATTTTAATTATGAATATGTATGTACAATTTATATTTATATACGTACGTATAAAGCTTACCACAGTTAAAACCACGCCCAGCAAACATGTAAAGATACCAATGCCAAGTCCGGACAACACGAGGAGCATGTAATTCACATCACGAATCACAGAGATCACCCTTTAACACCATTACCAAAAACATTTGCCTCTGAATGTATAAAATTTATACAAAATAAATATATATAATAAATAATAATTATAATAACTTGATAATATGTTGATGGTGAATTAAACATGATCTTAAACAAGACTTGAGAATTATTTTAAATTTGTTCATGTCCTTAATACTCGAATTTGGGCTCGATTTTTCATATTGGACTTCTGCCGTCTCGACCAAGTTTTTTAGCATGTAGTGCAATATCTGAAAGAAAAACATTGGCTCTTTCTTAAGTCAATCGACAGTTGCGACGAATTTTATTGACCACCTTAAATTCCGTGCATATCTCGTGAGACATGGCGACGAAAGCGCCGTCGATAATCGGAAACAATAACGCGACGTAAATTATGTTGAAGTATTCGAGAAACGCTGCGAGATAATATAAATTGCCCTTAGGTTCGACGTAAAACCAGTACGGGATCGGGATGCCGCCAACGAAATGCGACGAAGGCAAATCCGCTCCGTCTCTGGCATGCCTGGTTTCACCTTTTATAAGGTAGTTCAAGGGCCGTCTGAACGAAATTAGTAGCATGACGGAACAGCACATTATAAAATTTATTCGAGGTATCTTTTGTTTTTCAATTTTGCTTTCTGCTCGCAAACGGTTTATGTGTTCCAACGTCTCACCACCAACGTCGTACTCGTGCAATTCACTTCCCAAGGCTCTACAATGAAGATATAACGTAATACGAATAAAACCTAATATAATGACTCTTATTACAAACCTGTACAAATAAAACACTTTATCTTTCTTAATCCAGTACAGTATTATAAAGGAAAACATACAACCCAGCAACAAAGTTACGTTTAAACACTCGAATCTTACGTCGTAATCATTCCAACCTATAATGATGGACATAACCGTTTCAAATGTTTGAGAGCCGCACAAAAGGAGAACCACAAAAGCTCGAAATTTTGATCTATAGGCGATAAATATGGAAACAAAACGCCCAAAGTTGCTTTCAAACGATTCTCTATCCTTTTCATTTTTCTGAAAAATAACAACATAATTCTGTTTAAATTCTTCAAATGATTCTGAACATTATTCTTCAAGAACATAGAGCATGTCCTTTTTTGATGACCAGCATGAATTTCTCTTCTTCGCAAAAAAATATATTCGTAGTTAACATTTTTCATTCTGATTTTAAATTTGTATCGCTTTTTTAAAATATTTTCAGATTTTATTTTTTTTAAATATTCAGGATATTTCAGAGCCAGCACAATTTCAATTTTTATTGAGAACGCTTACTTTTTTACCCACTATTCTAAAGAATTTTTTACACTGAAAGCGACGGCGTAATCGGATTTTTCTTTTTTTCTTTTTAATCGTCAAAGAGTAACAAAGTATAGAATATGAAAATAAATATTTTTATTTCGTTTTTATTATTATTTTCTATCTATACGCGGACTGCTACCTCCGAGATGTTACTAAACCTATCATCCCTACAGTTATTTAACCGGGAGCAAGATCAGTTGTTCAATTACAAGCATGCACGAAAATGTGATCTGTGTTAATTGTACATAAACCACAAAAAAACACCAACACTGATATAAATAGATAATTAGCAGTAGTCATGTTTCAATTAAACAATTTTTATTTCACATACTTATTACTTTATTTCACAAAGAATTCACATATTGTTTCCTTTGAGGTGTTATACATTTTCACTATGATGGAGCAAACTCAGCTGCACAAAGGGTCAAGCACAGGTTTTGGTTGTATATTAATATAACAAAAGCAATGTACACCACATTCGACCTTCTACCTTTACATATTTATGTACGAAACGTGGCTGTCGAGTGTCAGTAGACTCCTGAGATAAAAGGAAATAAAGCCGGATTTGAGGAGGAGCCACCACGAAATTCGGGCGAGAATGAAAATAAATGAAACCTGACAAAATGAGAGAACAGCTCAACTTTGCCAGTCCTTCTAAGTAGTCATAGATAATAGAGACGTTTAAAAAAAGTAGAAGCGAGTTTCAGGGACGGACGATATGATACGTATTAGCACGTAATATTGAGGTAGCTTAGGGGTGAAAGGGCCGAATTTCACCCTAGTAAAGCCTCTTGTACTAATTCCCACAATTTTCCAAGCGGAGGTCCATCCAACACAACTCTATGCTCAGAGTTAATAAAGAAAAATATGAAAGGTGCGCAGAATTTCATGCTCTCAGATTGTCAGGCAACTATAAAGGCAATAAATGCGAAAGCTTCAACTCCAAACTTGTCTGGGATTGCCTAAATTGCCTAATGGCTCTATGAAAACAACGAGTTTACCTTAAAGAAGGATCCGGGACATGAATGTAGAAATAGATGAACAAGGCGACCAACTAGCCAAAAAATGAACAGACTTCACACCCATGGTAACAGAATGACAAATAGACCACAATGTTTGCTTAACTTAAACCTAAATAATTGGCTTGAGAAAGTAAAACTCAAGCACTATACAAAAACAAGATGTGAGCAAGCTAAGAAATTTATACATCTCTCAAAAGCAGGAGAACTACTCTCTCATTCTCTCTCTCTCGCTCTGTCTCTCTCCCTCTCTCTCTTTCTCTCTCTCTCTCACACACTTTCTTTCGTTCTCTCTCTGCAGGCTTCAGGAAAATTATTGGCCTCCATATCGCTCATTTCTTCCTCATAACTACGACTTAAAGAAGATGGGCAATTGGAGACAGAAACTTACCTACTCGGTCCAAGAGGAAGCAGATATATTGGCACATGCAACTCTCAGACAACAAAAACCGTACCAATGTTGTCCGTTTTAAAAGTCTGTGCCACTGCTGACTGCTACCTTGGATGTTACTATAAAGCACCTATAACAGATGTTTGCCCAGAGGCAAGATCAGTTGTTCATAAGAATCAAGGAACGGCTCTTATAAGTAACCTCCATGAATCAATTAGCACTTTGAGAGAAACTTCGAATATATAATTTGATAAATGACTAACAGCCAACGTAAATTGCTATAAGAAGACTAAAATTCAAAGTATGAAAGGTAAAAAGATAGTAATCTACTCTGATATCAGGTTGTGCAATTTCCAAATTTGTCAGGTTAAAGGTTCTAAAAAATATCCGCTGAAATATACATCCAAGTCAAAGGCATGTAAAAATTGTGAAACCGCAATTTATATTTTATTGGTAGAAATATTAAATCGATTATTTCGCTTTTGTTCTGTTTTTCCATTCACGCTCTTCTTGCGTCTTTTTTGAGTTTGTATTGTAGTTTAATTTGTATTGTATTGTATTGTACCTCGGTCCTCTGTCTATAATGTTTTATCCCCTCTCTTTCTGTATTTATTGTGTGATTGTTATTTCTCTCTCACTCACTCTCTCTCTCTCTTTTTCTCTCTCTCTCTTCTCTCTCTCTCTCTTTCTCTCTCTCTCTCTCACTTTCTTTCGTTCTCTCTCTGCAGGTTTCAGGAAAATTATTGGCCTCCATATCGCTAATTTTTTCCTCATAAGTACGACTTAAAGAAGATGGGCAATTGGGGGGCAGAGACGTGCCTACTTGGTCCAAGAGGAAGCAGACATATTGGCACATGCAATTCTCAGACAAAAACCGTACCAATGTTGTCCGTTTTAAAAGTCTGTGCTACTGCTGACTCCTATCTTGGATATGTAGTTATAAAGCACCTATACAGATGTTTGCCCAGCGGCAAGATCAGTTGTAAATAAAAATCAACGAAAGGCTTTAAGCACTTTCGAGAGAGAAACTTCGAAAATATAATGGGATAAATGACTAACAGCCAGCCTAAATTTACTATTGCAATAAGAAGGCTAAAATTCAAAGTACTATTCTTATAGTAAGTTGTGCAATTCCCGAAAGTAGTCAGGTTAAAGGTTTTAAAAAATATCTGCTCGAATAAACTCCCAAGACTGCATGGAAAAAATATTTGTCCCTAAATTTACTTCAGCCTTGAAGGAACTATGCCGGGGAGTATTCAGGTTTATTGAAGATCTGTTAACTGAACATTGATGGGTTAATATGTAGATGTAAATATTGGAAGAGGCAAAATTGACAAAATAAGATAATCTGTGTCGATTCTGCCAAGAAAAGAGAGGAAACCGCAATTTATATTGTATTGGTACTGTGATGGCCTAATCAACAATATTGATGCTATAAGGCACGTAGAAGATTTACAAAAATGTCATACCTAACCGTACTTCTGGTTTGTTGCAGGAAAGACGAGACAGATCCAGGATAATTACGAATCTGTTAACTGGAGGCATAAGAAAGTATTAAAAGAGAAAAAAGATACATTTGATTCTACCAAAACGAGAAGGAAATCCCACTACATATTACAATACATTATGTTGCTGTGAATGCCCAACAGCGAGGTTTCAAGTCGCTGGCAATGAAAATCAAAAAAACGGATACCGTGAAAAAGAATTTTTACCAATCCGAGCAAATCTATCTGCAATGTTTATTTTGTTGACATTGAACATATCTAACTGATGAAGTTGTTTAAAAATAACATTGTCTCCCTCTCTCCTCTGTCTCTTTCTTTCTCTATCAGCAGGCTTGAGGATAATTATAGCCCTCTATATCGCTTATTTCCCTCTTAAGTACGTCTAAAACAAGCAAAGCAGAGACAGACGCGTGCCTACTCGGTCCAAGAGGAAGCAGATTGGCACTTGCAATTCTCAGGAAAATAACGTACCTACGTTGTCCGTTTTAAAAGACTGTGCCACTGCTGACTGCTACCTTGGATGTTACTATAAAGCACCTATAACAGATGTTTTCCCAGCGGCAAGATCAATTGTTCATAAGAATCAAGGAACGGCTCTTATAAGCAACCTCGATGAATCAATTAGCACTTTTTGAGAGAAACTTCGAATATATAAAGTGATAAATGACTAACAGCCAACGTAAATTGATAATTGCTATAAGAAGACTAAAATTCAAAGTATGAAAGGTAAAAAGATAGTAATCTACTCGGATATAGGGTTGTGCAATTTCCGAATTTGTCAGGTTCTAAAAAATATCTCCTGAAATAAACACCCAAGTCAAAGGCATGTAAAAATTGTGAAACCGCAATTTATATTTTATTGGTACTGTGAAGGTCTAAATAGGAAAATGTTTCTATTCATGTATTCGTGTGCAAATCAAAGCTCAATATATCAATAATAATTAACAAGCAATTGTCAATAATATGGATGCTATGACGAACGTAGGAGATTTACAGTTATTCAAAAATGTCCTGCCTAAACTTACTTCGTCTTTATTCCAGCAAAGACGAGACAAATTCAGGATAATTGCAAATCTGTTAACTGGAGGCATTTGGAAAAGAGAAAAAAAATAAATTTGATTCTACCAAAAGGAACAGGAAATCCCACTACTTATTACACTATATTATGTTGCTGTGAAGGCCCAACAATGAGATTTCAAGTCGCTGGCAAAGAAAATCAAAAATACGTACACCGTGCAAAAGAATTTTTACATATCCGAGCAAATTTATCTGCAATGTTTATTCTGTTAACATTTAACATATCTAGCTGGTGAATTTGTGTAAATATAACATTGTCCACTTCCATTCATACAAAAATATTGGGAGTGGCAGAAGATAGCCTAATAAGGTTTTGACACGCAGTTAAAGAAACCGCAGTATTTAAGCGACAGTTCTTCAAGAATATGGCGACATAAGCCTGAGGATTATGATTGCAGTTGATGTTCGTAAATTGGAAGAATCCGCGTAGTAGGACGTGTAGAAGACGGCCTACGGGGTACATTGAGTACAATTTTACATCAGCTTAAAGGTAAAAAAAGAAGAACAAATTATATGCTTCTGTAAATGCGTAAGCATTACAGGCCAAACATTGCCAAAACTACAGAGGGAATAATCAGCCTTTACAGGCGCAGTGTAAAAAGCTTATTAGCCAACCAATCCAACTAAAGCGTATTTGGTAAAAGACATTCTTGTAAATATTCTTGTAGACATTCTTTCTATACTATCACGTCAGAATATATGTAGAAAATTCGAATCACCATATCAAACATTATTCGAAGGTGGTACGTGACATACTATTTTTTTCACGCCGAAAAAAATGAAACCTCGAGGTGCGATATTTATTCATTTATGTATTTCCTAAGAAGTCACTGTTTTCGCTTATCCGGGTGGCATTTAATGAAGTATTTATTATTAAAACATTGTGTCGCTCAAATTACATGGTTTAAATTCAGTAGAGCGAACGGATTCTATCGATCCTGTGCTCTTTCATAGTCAATACTTTATAATATGTTCTTCGTACTCAGCGGGAATAAAAAACAAAACGAAAATAATAAAGCCACCAAGAAAAGAGAAGCCAGAAATTATCCGGGAGAAAGGCCGTCAGAGGGATAGAGATAGAGAAAAAGAATCAATAAATTTCGTTTTATTTCAAAAAATCTCAAATTTTGATTGCAAACGACTTCTCTTACCATTAACGGACATTAAAGAAAAAAGAGGGATAAACGGAGAGAGATGGAAATAGAGAAAGAAGGAGAATGAATAAATAAATACCGTGTTATTAAAAAAAAAATCTCTCAAATTTTGATCGCAACCGACCTCTCTTACAATTAACGAAACGTTAAACAGAAAAGAGTGATATAGAGAGGGAAAGACTGACAAACAGAAAAAGAGGCCGACAGAAAGACACAGACACAGAGAGATTAATACATACATATGTAAAAAAGTAAAAAGCACAAAGGAAAATGTCAAGGACCTTTATCCATCCTGTGGGGGGCAGGGGATTTTAAGTATATTTACGAAAATTAATAAATTAAGCAGTGGTGAAACCTTTTAAGAAGAACCACTCACAATAGGATACAATAAATTTTTTATTGAACAGTCTTAAGAAACTAAGTGACAACACTATTGTTAAAATTTCTGAAACTAAATAAATAGAAAAAACGTAAATAATTTATGAAATAAATAATTTTAGAAGATACATAGTTTAACAAATAAATAAATAACTACATAAGCCTTACATTAAAAAATGTTTTATACCTCTGTCCTTCCAATTTATGGATAAGTTATGGTTCCTTACGTTTTCTATTTTGTTTGTACCCTCAGTGCTACGTGAAAAAAGGAGCTGGTTGCTTTTTAATATCCTCATTAATTATAATTAATTAAGGTTTATAGTTGAGATAAAAAAGTCAATGGCACGAGCGGGATTCGAACCCACGATCTTCGGCTTGATACGCCGCTGCTCTACCACTTGAGCTACCGTGACCTCGATCCATTCGGACACTAACTTCCCATCTCAACCGCACCTTTTGAATTTTCCCTCCTTTTTGCCATTTTTCAAATGTCGTGTATTCGGCTTGGATTCTCGAGGACAAATGAAATGGCCACGGAGAGCTTTAGTGAAGTACACTTCTACCACTGAAAAATGGCAAAAAGTGGGGAAAACTGAAAAAGGTGGGGTTGAGATAGGAAGTTGGTCACGATAGCTCAAGTGGTAGAGCAGCGGCGTATCAAGCCGAAGATCGTGGGTTCGAATCCCGCTCGTGCCGTTGACTTTTTTATCTCAACTAAAAACCTTAATTAATTATAATATATTAATTGGTCAAGCGGACCACGAAATTAGTGAATTTAACCCTCATTAATGTAACGGATGTTCAAAATTTCATACATCTAGTTTATACTAGTGCTTATTGATATTAACCTTGAAAGGTTGGTTTGAATTATTTGTATGCACTGTTGTTGGTGTTACTTGTGAAACTCCACATCTGGGAGGCACATAACAGCATGGGCCTAACTACTGTTTTCCAAATCATTAATGTTTTTTCGAGGCTCTCCATCTCAGAACTTAAATTAATTTAATCACTTTTACAGCCAACGATAGTAGTTACTATGTGATTACATTTAAATTAAAATAATATTACAAATGTGTGGTGGAGAGATAACGATAGAAATTTAACCAAACCTTAATACAACAATATATTAAACGTTTTTTTATTGATTACAGCAAAATAAGGACTGCTTCTTCTCCCTCATTATAAGTTATATTAAATTAGTATAGCAGTAGATAGCAAATATTTAATTGCAATTTTCTGCACTCTGTCGAAAGATATTTCTAAAAGTACATACCTAAGCCGAAGAATTATACCCGTCTATCGTCGAATAGTATAACAATGTGACATTGGTCAGTTTTTAAAATTATAAAAATATTAAAAAAACGAACTTAGAAAACAGTAATATGCTATTCATTCGNTATATATATATATCAATCCCTCACAGTACACGGTATAACCAAAGTGGCAAGATCGAACCAACTCAATTCCCGTTAATAATTACGACTTCCATCCAGACGTCATACTCACTTGAGAGTACTTGATATTCCTCGGATAAGGATAAACAACCCATTCCTTTCGCGCTAATAAATCACATTAGTGCCAATACATACACCCGATACAACATAGAAGTTTGGCCATATTTACTCTTCACAGTACTTGATATCCCTCAGCGTGGGGTTAGAAAGTGAAATTGTGCTTATATAAATTAATAATCAGAGCTAACCTAAAATAGGTTTATGACATAAACTATTTTTTTCTAACGAAAAGACAAAACACATTCGGCATGTTTGGTTTGACCACTGACAGTAAATAAATGATGTAATACTTAAGTTCTTTATAAAACAACCTTAATCTGTTTTTAGGTGATTTCCGTAATATATTGCGTTACACCGTTAATTGATATATTCTATTTTAGCGAATATTTCGTTAGGCGGATGGGAATATTTATAGGTAAATATGAATAAATTAAATAATTAAGGTCCCTCATTGTATATTTTTCTTAGGGACTTTTCTGGTGCCGACAATGGTGACTGTGAATACTTTGCTATATATTCTAGATATATTCATGCAAGGGTTCTTCTTGTACGCAGTAAAAGAGGTAAAAGAGGACATTATATGATATGTTTAATAAATACAATCTTTTTTAATATGAACCGTTTTTCAGGCGAATGTACGCTACGTTCAAATAGTAACAGTTTATTCGGTATTTTCGCCGTTGTTGGAAGCGACAAGAGTGATTATTTGCGTCAATTTCGAATTCATCGCGGAGGTTTTGGCATTCAGCTGTGCATTATGTAATTCTGATTGTCCGTGTGTGACAAACCGGCCAATTTGTGCTAATATAATATTTTCCGTTTGACTTATCAGTGTATAGGTTGCTATTTCTGTCCACCCTGCATCATTACCGGAGGACTCTTTCCACTTGTCAGGCCCCCTTCCTTCAGGAATGATATTGCCAAAATACAAAAATGGAAAAAGGAGATAACACATTTGTCAGTTGCTATTTTAAATTTATCTTATAATATTTAAAGATTATAATTAAATAAAATCAGTAAAAGGAATATAAATTAAAAAGAGGTCGAATGTTTATTTTATTTCCGTTCTAAAATAAAAAAAATATCATAAAGAAATTTTTTATTTTCTCCTTTTCAAAGACAGTGCGCGTCCACTTCTGCAGACTGAGGAGGGCCCACAATCCACCTCAATTCAAATGTTCAATCTGGAACAACTGTTGAGGAAAAGTCTAGATACAGCTCTATGATGCAGATATTGAAGAGGCTTTAAGCCCCAGTATAAAGTATATTTTTTTCTTCTCCCTCTCAATTCTTCTCGTGGTGGGTATGTGGATAGGTTGTGGTTCCTCGACCCCATATTCCATCAAAAGTGGCAGTCATAGATCGAAGATGCCTAAATTCATTGCATGAAAACATTGGGTTTACTCAGGTATATTGGTCACTTCAAGTGGTGAGAGGACAGTGAGACTACTAAAAGTATTAGAAGCCTTGCTCTGGTCATGAGGGTTCTACTGATACGGCCTTTCCTCGACCCGAAAAACTCGTACCTTGCGGCTCGACAGACTCTACTGTCAGGGACTTCGAGCTGTGTCAGGCGTGTATAGAAACATCCCTTTGGCCAGCCTCTGCTGAGAGTTGGGACTGCTGCAGCCCGAATTCCGGAGAGAGCGCCTTACTCACCGAAATGAGGCGGGTTTCTTGGCCAAGTTGGACGCCCCCGTCGGGAAAGGTACTGATAAACAAGGGTAGCCAGGTGTGCAGGAGGCTTCGAACTCGGTCTCATCCCCTGTTTATTAGAGGGACGGCTTGACGTTTGAGTCCTCCCGACCGTACTCGTCCGGGACAATCTTGCGGTACTAGCAGATCTTGTACAGCGCCACACCTCTACCGAGTTGAGTTCCTTGAACACAGATAGGGGTACGCCGGTTCTCGGCTCGTCTATACGGACTGGCCAGGACCAGCGAGAGTGAGGCCTGCGCCGTGCATATTTGGGGCACGTCCTTTCCGTAACTTCGTTTTATGGCTGCGTCGCTAGTATCCGCCTTAAGCCTAATACCCCCGAGATCGTCGTTTCACAACCTGCAGAGGTAAGTAATCGATATTCCTTCATCCTACACAAATAGCAATAATCTAATCTAAATTGGAGTCGATGATGGTGAGTCACTTAATATTCCACCATCGCCCCTAGACGAGCACAAGCAGATATAAATGCGGCGAGCTTTGTTTTCCAATTGAGACACACTTTCAAGAAGTTCACACCCCTTTTTACCAAACAGTTTAAAAAAGAAAAAAAACGGAAACAACAGGATAAAGCAGCTCTAGATAATTTACCAGCCAATCAAGCCTCATCGCCTTCTAACCTTGTCCAGTATGTTCTGTCGCTCAGCACATATTGCTCAGGTTCCTCTCCAACCGCACCATAAATATTGCAAACGTATGGAGCAAGGGTCTCTAATCCTTCAGTGCCCTGGAAAACTTCGGAAACAACTGTTTATCCGAGAGTGCCAAAACGGCCACCAATATTTATGACAAATCAGGAAGATTTTCCACGACAGCTCCACGGCAAATAGGAAGGGAGCATACACCAACTGTGGACTCGTAGAAGCGCTACAAAATATCTTATTGAGACCATTTCATTCGAAACCATAATAGAAAAGCACAACGAAAGGCGATTCAACAGGACCAACGTCGACGTGTTGAGTCAAAGGACAGCAAATGTCATTACGGCAAAAATGTCCTTACCCCTTTGCGGCCATAGAACCCACTTCCTCTGAGCAAAAAATATATGCAGTAACAACCATTTTTCCCATGAGAGTCCATTCCCAATTCTCGGAAAGACTGAGTGCAGTTCTTCCATTGGCAGCAGTACGAACACCATAAGGCGTATTGCCGTCACCTTCCGAGATGTGTCAATTGTGGTTAATTAATTAAACAATACAAAATATCCATTTTATGATGGTTTATTGGTTTCTCATTTTAGTTACAATACATAATATATTATGTTAATATGCTATATAAGTTGTCCTGTAGGTATGGTGCTAGATGTGTTCTCAAAAAATGAAGTGTGTCACCTTGACTTCACGTCGTAGCCACCCTTTTCAGTATTTGTGCTTGGTTGCTGCGAGTCCTTGGTCCGATGTTTGGATAGAACAACGGTGTTTTCCGTTGGCTTTTGTTCCACAACATATTTCTTTTCTACATTCATAGTAAGGTCAAATATATTTTATGTTGTCTCAATTTGTAGTTAAGTTGTCTCTATAGTAAACATAGAGGTTTTTGAATGGTATTTACACAATAAAATATATATTTATGAAAAATTAGTGTGTGATTATATGTTTAGGTTGAAAACGGCATTTCTTAGAACTGAAATGGCCAAACTGTCGATAGCTCAGACCTCCTACTGCTAGACAATTAATTTTGTAATATTACTCTCAATTTATTTATTTACTGATATCACCATTGTTTTTTAGTTTACAAAATATTGACTCTACTGTTAACGTAGTGCAATATTTTTGCATTCTTTTAATACATCTGACATTGTATAATATGATGACATTTTATACCGAATATTGTTGAACTTGCGTTTCTAGAGATTTCTAGAATGAACGAAGAAATAAAGTTCTAGAAAGAATTCTACAACTATTGATGTTTTGACACTGCCATTGTATGAAATGTTGTAAAGTGAAATAAAATGGTCTATTTTTGGTTCTCAGGTCGTCTTTCCGTTGATCCGTTTTTACTTAGAATGCTTCACCCAAGGAAAACATTTAGGACATAGCCTTTAAGAAGTTGAAGTAGCCAAATGCAGAATTGATAATCTGAAAAATGAAGTCAAATTAGAGTTTGACTTGATGGTTTGTTAATTTTTAGTAAGTAGCGTAAGAAATCCATACGGCTGGAAACATCTCCAGATTCAATTCAGAAAATCCACCAGCAGAAAGTGTGATAGGCCTTTTTGATCTTTCAACAATTATCATCATTTCCAGATTGAGAAAGAGCTGTATTTTATCCAATTTGATTCATAAAGTGCTCTTCCAAGAGATATAGACTGTAAATAATTAAAACAAAATTTTATTTATAACTAGTAATAGATAATATTATAATAATATAATTCGTACTTAACATTTTTCAGTCTGATTTTAATTTTTTTTAAAGATACTTTTTTCAAGATACTTCAGAGCTAGAACAATTTCAAATTTTAATGAGAACGGTTACTTTTTTACCCACTATTCTAAAGAATTTTTTACACTGAAAGCGACGGCGTAATCAGATTTTAAATTCGTCAAAGAGTAACAAAGTATAGAATATGAAAATAAATATTTTTATTTCGTTTTTATTATTATTTTCTATCTATACGCCGACTGCTACCTCCGAGATGTTACTAAACCTATCACCCCTACAGTTATTTAACCGGGAGCAAGATCGGTTGTTCAATTCGGTTGTTCAAGCATATATCTTCATGCACGAAAGTGTGATCTGTGTTAATTGTACATAAACCACAAAAAACACCAACACTGATAATAATAGATAATTAGCTGTAGTCATGTTTCAATTATAGAATTTTTATTTCACATACTTCACAGGGACTTCACAAATTACTTCCTTGGAGGTGTTACTATTCCAAGCGGAGGTCCATTCAACACAACTCTATGCTCACAGTTAATAAAGATAAATATGAAAGGTGCGCAGAATTTCATGCACTCAGACTGTTAGGCAACTATAAAGGATTGCCTAAATTGCCTAATGGCTCCATGACAACGAGTTTACCTTAAAGAAGGTTCCCGGACATGAATGTTTTGAAGGAAATGAACAGGCTGAACAACTAGCCAAAACATTAACAGCCATTACTCCCATGGTACCAGAACGACAATAATATGCACCAGAATGTTTGCTTAACGTAAACTTAAATAATTGGCTTGAGAAAGAAAAACTCAAGCATGGACAAAAACAAGATGTGAGCAAGCTATGAAATTTATACATCTCTCAGAAAAGAAGACGCAGGAACTACTCACTCTCTTTCCCTCACTCCCTCTCTCCTGTCTCTTTCTTCCTCTCCCAGCAGGCCTGAGGATAATTATAGCCCTTTATTTCCCTTATTTCCCTCTTAACTACGACGCAAAGAAGCAAAGAAGAGACATACTCGTGCCTACTCTGTCCAAACGAAGCAGACACATTGCCACATGCAATTCTCAGACGAAAAACGTACCAATGTTGTCCGTTTTAAAATTCTGTGCCACTGCTGACTGCTACCTTGGATATGTTACTATAAAGCACCTATAACAGATGTTTGCCCAGCGGCAAGATCAACTCAAGCACTATACAAACACAAGATGTGAGCAAGCTAAGAAATTTATACATCTCTCAAAAGCAGGAGAACTACTCTCTCGTTATCTCTTTCTCTCTCTCTCACACTTTCTTTCTTTCTCTTTCTGCAGGTTTCAGGAAAATTATTGGCCTCCATATCACTCATTTTTTACTCATAATTACGACTTAAAGAAGATGGGCAATTGGGAGGCAGAGACGTGCCTACTTGGTTCAAGAGGAAGCAGACATATTGGCACATGCAATTCTCAGACAAAAATCTTACCAATGTTGTCCGTTTTAAAACTCTGTGCCACAGCTGATTGCTACCTTGGATATGTTATTATAAAGCACCTATAACAGATGTTTGCCCAGCAGCAAGATCAGTTGTTCATAAGAATCAAGGAAGGGCTCTTATAAGCAACCTCGATTAATCAATTAGCACTTCGAGAGAAACTTGGAACTTATAATGTGATAAATGACTAACAGCCAACATAAATTTATAATTGCCATAAGAAGAATAAAATTCAAAGTATGAAAGGTAAAAAGATAGTAATCTTCTCTGACATCAGGTTGTGCAATTTCCAAATTGATCAGGTTAAACGTTCTTAAAAATGTCTGCTTGAATAAACACCCAAGTCATAGGCATGTAAAAATTGTGAAACCGCAATTTATATTTTATTGGTTCTGTGAAGGCCTAAATAGGAAAATGTTTCTATTCATGTATTCGTGCGCAAATCAATGCTCAATATATCAATAATTCAATAATTAATCAATCAATAAATCAATAATTAGCACGTAACTCTCAACAATATGGATGCCATAGCATATTGTCCATCATAAGGCACGTAGTAGATTACAGTTATTCAAAAATGTCATGCCTAAAGTACTTAGTCTTTATTCCAGCAAAGACCAGACAAATTCAGGTTAATTTCAAATCTGTTAACTGGAGGCATTTGGAAAAGAGAAAAAGGTACACTTGATTCTAGCAAAATGAGAAGGAAATCACACTACTTATTACAATATGTGCTGATGTGAAGGCCCAACAATGAGGTTTCAAGTCACTAACAATGAAAAGCAAAATTAAGGACACCGTGCAAAAAATTTTTACCAATCCGAGCAAATCTATCTGTAATGTTTATTCTGTTGACATTTAAAGTATTTAACTGGTAAATTTGTTTAAAAATAACATTGTCAGTTCATCATACATACGAAAATGTTGGGAGTGGCAGAAGATAGTCTAGATAGGTTTTGACACACAAGAAACCGCAGTATTTAAGCGACAGTTCTACAAGAATATGGCGAGACAAGACTGAGGATTACGATTCCAGTTCATGCTCGTAAATTGGAAGAAACTTTGCGTAGCAAGACGTGTAGAAGACGGCCTACGGGGTATATTGAGTACAATTTTACATCAGCTAATGGTAAGAAAAACAAGAATAAATTATATGCTACTGAAAATGTGTAAACATTATAGGCCAAACATTGTTAAAACTACGGAGGGAATAAGCAGCCTTTACAGACGCAGTGTAAAAAGCCTATTAGCCTCCTCAACCAACCAAAACGTATTTGGTAAAATGCTATCTTGTAAATATGGAAACTCCTTTTTATACGATAGAAAATTCAAATCACCATATCAAATATTTTGCGCAGGTTGTACTTGACATACTATTTTTCACGCGGAAAAAGATGATACCTGGAGGTATTTATTCATTTAAGTATTTCCTAATAATCTACTATTTGACGCTATTTTCGCTTATCCAGGTGTCATCTAAGGTAGTATTTATTATTAAAACATTGTGTCCCTCAAATTACGTGGTTTAAATAAAGTCCAGCGACCAGATTCTATCGACCGTGTGCTCTTTCATAGTCAATATTTTATATGTTCTTCGTACTCAACGGGAATACAAAACAAAACGTAAATAATAAAGCTACCTAGAAAATAGAAGCCAGAAAATATCCAGTTGACTTTTTCAGAGAAACTCATTTTGTTAATATACCTTCAGAAGTATATACTACATTTTATTTCGACCAAATGTGTACAATTAAAGAAAACTGATAAATACATATAAAAACTAAAAATCTATTGTAAATGTTAATTAACCAAAACAAAAAACAAATAAATAGTTGTAATATAAAAATAAATATCGAAGAGGGAAAAAGAAAGAGTGCGAGAACTTAACTTTTTACTTGCAACTTTACTACAATTAAAAAAAAAAATAAAAACAGCTATGGTGAAAGTTTTACGTAAAATATTTTGACAGCTGATCCCGCTAGTGTCGGTTTCATTTACTATGAATTTAGTGTTACCATACAACACAATTTCCAGTAGATCATCAAATCCAGTTGGTGTAAAAACACCAATACGTGAAAATGATTTTTTGAAATACCAAACCAAAAATAGTATTGTAGTTTTAAATAAAAATCAAAAACGTATTTGGCCTCCGAATCTTATCATTCGCTCACCACTGAAAATACACAGTATGATAGTACTTGAAACAAGGTGAATAAATCAAATAAAAGAATGTACCTATTTATTTGGTTTCTATTATTCTGCAGAAAGGAAAGAAAAATATATAAGGATGAAGGTAATTTGTATAAATAAATAACAAGTGAAAGTGACTGAAAGGTTAAATAAATATTGTCAAAAAACAAAGCATAGAAGGCGAAAATGGAACAGAGATAGATAAGCAGATCGATAGAAAATATGAAGAGAGAGAGAGAGATTGATTGATTGATTAACGATTTATTTATTGAAATGCACGTAAAAGTTATGTAGGTCTCTAGGACTATTTTTAAACTTAACGTGTAAATACAATTATAATATTTGTTTATAGTTGCAACAGACATAAAATAGAAATAACAAATTATTGTAAAATTAACAATGAGCTAAATGTGTAAAATGAGAGTAAGTTGAACTTACAAGTTTATATTTTGCACCATAACAGCAATCGGAAAAGAGAGGGAGGGAGGAAGAAAGAGAGAGAGAGAGTGAGAGAGAGAGATAGAAATAGATAGATAGATAGATAGATAGATAGATAGATAGATAGAGAGATTGAGAGAGAGAGAGAGAGGCCGACAGAAAGACCCTGTGAGATTAGCCGGAGAAGATTTTATATGTATTTACGAAAATTAATAAATGAAGCGGTGGTCAAAATGTTTTTAGAAGAACCACTCACAATAAGATAAAATACATTTTTTGCAGAACAGACTTAGGAAACAAAGTGACAACACTATTATTAAACCTCAGTGCTACGTGAAAAAAAAGAGCTGGTTGCTTTTTAAAAAGAAAAACATTTTCTTTATCGTGCCAACGTTTCGTTCTTTTATTGAGATCATCTTCAGGGCCTGGGATTTACAAATAATGTTTCTATTTAACAAATACATTTAGGATATGGAAAAGTGAATTTATACAATGCAAAATATATTTTTATATTCAATCAAAGTATTTTTACTCACTCAAAGTGTTTGTCTTCTGTGTAATTGTGCCATCCTTGCGTGTCGTGTTGAGAAGTGTAAACATTGTTTGTAAATCCCGGGCCCTGAAGTTGATCTCAATAAAAGATCGAAACGTTGGCACGATAAAGAAAATGTTTTTCTGAAACCTACATCACACCCGACCGCATCTCACGATATCTGGCTAACTATTGATTAACGGTCACTAATCTCTACACATCCTCCTTAATGTAACGGATGTTTAAAATTTCATACATCTAGTTTATACTAGTGCTCATTGATATTAACCTTGAAAGCTTGGTTTGAATTATTTGTATGCACTTTATGTTGGTGTTACTTGTGGCATCTGGGAGACACATAACAGCATGGGCCTTGCAAATCATTAATTTTTTTTTTTTCGAGGCTCTCCAACACAGAATTTAGAATAATTTAATCACACTTACAGCCAACGATAGTAGTTACTATGTGATTGCAATGAAATTAAAATAATATTACAAATGTGTGGTGGAGAGATAACGATAGAAATTTTACCAAACCTTAATACAACACTAAAGTCCACTAGATTTGTGGTCCACTTGACCAATTAATATCTTTAAATTAATTAAGGTTTTTAGTTGAGATAAAAAGTCAGTGTCACGAGCGGGATTCGAACTCACGATCTCGTGCTAGATACGCCACTGCTCTACCACTTGAGGTATCGTGACCTCGATCCACTCAGACAGTAACTTCCCATCTCAACCCCACCATTTGAAAATGGCAAAAAGGAGGGAAAATTCAAATGGTGGGGTTGAGATAAGCAGTCTGCATTAAGTGAAAAATAAATGTATGGCGTAACTAGCCGAAGATCGTGGGTTCGAATCCCGCACGTGACAGTGACTTTTTTATCTCAATTAAAAACCTTAATTAATTGAAATAAATTAACGGTTTTTCATTGAATACTGTAACATAAGTTATTGTTTTTTTATACTAAGTTTAAACTATTTTGAATAGGAATCATAATTGTGTTATAACGTAAAAACGTAAATTTTGTAAATTCCGTTTTTTCTATAGTTTTTCGCTTGATGACACCGTTAAATTACAGTAGGAATAATCAGTCTGCATTAACTGAAAAATAAATGTATAGCGTATCTAGCCGAATATGCTATTATATTACATTTCCAAGTTCAGCCATTCATTATGTATGCCCATGAGTTGCATTATGTATACCATGGTGAGGGGTGAAGGTATGTGAGGTACGAATAGGACTTAACAAAGTTGCCCCAGAACCAAGGCTCTATTAGGTCGAAAGATAGGAGAATCATTGTATGATAATTTAGTTTTTTCTTTAACTCTATTATAAAAACCAAGCAGAAGCAATAAAACTTGTAAGGTTTATTTATTAATGAATATAAAAGTTGATGGCAATTTTGGACGCTTTCGTCGTCAATGTAATAAATATGTATGAAAGGTATCGGTTGAGATAAAAAAGGCAGTGTCACGAGCGGGATTCGAACTCACGATCTTCGGCTAAATACGCCGCTTCTCTACTACTTGAGACTTGACTTCGAAAAATTGAAAAATGGCAAACAGGAGGGAAAATTCGAACGGTTGGAGGTTGAGATGGAGAGTTGGTGTTCGAGCGGATCGAGGTCACGATAGCTCAAGTGGTAGAGTAGCTGCGTATTTAGGCGAAGGTCATGGGTTCGAATCCCGCTTGTGAGACTGACTTTTTTTATCTCAACTAAAAACCTTAATTAATTGAAATAAATTAACGGTTTTTCATTGAGTACAGTAACATAAGTTATTGTTTTTTTATACTAAATATAAACTATTTTAAATAGGAAACATAATTGTGTTATAACGTAAAATCCTGAATTTTGTACATTCCTTTTTTTCTATAGTTTTTCGCTTGATGACACCATTAAATTGCAATAGGAATAAGCAGTCTGCATTATCTGAAAAATAAATGTTAATAGTGTTATAAAATATAACTCTTAGTTACCTTAGTATTTACCCCTGCAAAAGTTTCTAGATTCAATTCACTTTTGATACTGACTGATAGAACAGTCGGTTTCGTCGAACGCATTTGTATAATAACGAATTCTTTCTTCAAAATGGCCGTGTAGTCCATTATACTTGGCGTAAAGAGGTTGTGGCCGACCTGTGATGACTTCAATGGGGAGTTGATTGTATTTGCCTTTCTTGTTTTTTATTTATTTATTATTTTTAATAAAAAAAATGAATGCTTACGCAAACTTTCATCTTTTCGCTGAACCAGCAGAAAATTAGAAGGTGGAACATCGCTGCCATCGCCGTGCCACATCCTGCTATTTGTGCTCCCAGTGCCACCTTCGACTATAAGTGATATTTATACCCATGTAAACTCACATAATGGTATCATATAGTAAAAACAAAACAACAATACCGATTGTAATAAAAATCCGAAAGACCCCACAAGTATGCTGATTGCGACTAACAAATATATGAGTGTAGGACGATGTATGAATTTCAAAGTTACACCCATTCTGCAATAAATATTGAAATGATATCAACTGTATGAAGGTGATTTAATTTTTTATGTAATACCGTAACAATAACTGATGATGTCTTATTGAAGATTTTAAAAGTGACAACAATACGGGACTTATATCTTCGTATTTCGGTGAATCCTTTCCTTGTGACTTGCACATCAATTTTGAAATTTCTACAAGATTTTTCAGTACGTACTGAAGTATCTGAATTGAAAACAAAACATTGAAACCAATTTTAATTAAATAAAAAGTGTGTTAATTGACCTGAAACTCCGTGCAGATTTCGTAAGCTACGCACATAAATGAGCAGTCTGAAGCGATTACGATGCTTGTCATAAAAACAAAAAATACAACTTCGCGACCGACCGCTATGTAGTAGGCTGCGTCGCTGACCTTGGTGTCAAAATAGTACCAAAACGGAATTGGAACACCGCCGACCACATATTTCGGAAGCAGCTCGCTGAACCTTCCGTACTTTTCGTAACCGTTCAAGTAAGTATCAAGAGGGTATCTTACAAAAATTTGAACGAAGCAGGCTGAAACCATAAGAACAATGAAGAGTTTCGGAGAGTACTTCTTCTCCCTGCTGCTCCTCTGACGTATTTTTTCTATGTAAAATTTTGTCTCATTGTCCACTTCGTACTGGTGCCTCTTGCTTCCAAGAGCGCTGAAATAAACGGAGTAAAAATAAAGATCTTTCTTTCAGCAAAATTACTTACCTCCAGATAAATTCGAATTTATCTTTATGATGAAGAAAAGTAAATGCGATTATTGTGATGGCCGTTATTATAAGAGCGCTGCCCATGTTCTCGAAGAATAAAGTTTCGTCGAATGTTACCATGTAGGTGGTCACGGTTGTTACAAATGTTTCATGTAATGAAAAAATAAAGCAACCAAGTACGACGTACTTTGGACCGGAAAGCGCCGTCATCCTCAGTAACAGACCATAATTGTCGTAAAACGCATCCAAATCCAGACGCTTCTCCTATTAACGTAGATGAGTTTAAATACCTTGGGATAATCATGGGAAATCACATGAAATAGAATAAATATAGAATATTTATGTGATAAACTAAGACAATTCATGTATATGATAAACCGAATAAAAGGATTCCCAATTAAAACAAAAAAATTAATATATACAATCCTTTTCCAATCGGTATTGCAATTTAGGAGTACATATAGATATATCCTACAAAAAAGTTGCCTAAAGAAGTAACACAAAAAAAATCAAATATGTATCAAAATAATTATTTGGAGAAATAGTAGTTTATAGCATTTGTCAATTTATGTAAAAATGTGTGGTGAAATAATAGAAAGAAATACCTTCATTGAATATAAAAAAATATTTTTTTGCATTGTATAAATTCACTTTTCCACATCCTAAATGTATTTGTTAAATGTAAACAATGTTTGTAAATCCCAGGCCCTGAAGATGATCTCAATAAAGATCGAAACGTTGGCACGATAAAGAAAATGTTTTTCTAAAACGTACATCACACAGATCGCATCTCACTTTTTCTGAATAATCATCTATGTAAAAAATTTATGTACATTATTAGACCATTTATGTAAAAAGGTAAATTACTTCGAATAAATTTTTTACAAGAGGAATTGAATGTAAAATCAAATTACCGATAATAAAAAAAAAATTAGCCAAAATTCACGAAAATACAGAACAAGACCTTCTACAAAACATAAATATAAGTATTTATTGAAAATAATTAACAAAATGATAAGAGAAATTAATTATAAACTGTTTCAATATGATTTAATTCATTTACTTATTAACTACTTATACACACACCTATAATTTTGAAATTAAATTATACAATGAAATAAGAAATACAAAGTCCTGTATTAGATCTAACATTTAAATGTTTAAATAGATCAGTTTAATCTTTAATTTTAAAAAATTATTAAAAATTTAACAAAAATGATTAAAAATATATGTGCACATTAGCCACACAACTCCATGCAAGGACCTTGCATATGGTATTTTGTAAAACTGAAAATAAACATGTAATAAATTAAATTAAAAAGTAAAACAAATATAAACATGTCAATATATTGTAGAATTTAAAACATAGTAAAAAATAATCGAAATAAAAAAATATTTATTTTTTAACAAATAATACCTAAAAAGTAGATGATCCATGAGGTTTCCTCTTTTGAATATTGAAAACCGATACCTTTTAGCAATTATTGGTTGAGAACACGTCAAACTTTAGATGTTTTCTTGAAAAATTTTTGATAATTCACTCCATTGAACTATCCGGTCGTAAAATAAGTGCGTAGCGTTTTAGTTTGTACATTCCATTAAAATTTCAGGTTGTTGTAAACAAATTTAATCAATAGTAAATTAACCATTGCCACTTTTCGAAGGTTGGGATATTTTATTCGCAGAGAAGAAAGAGAGACTGGTAATCAGTGACCCCGAAAAGAAAATTTTAGTTCATTGTCCCAGAACGAGTTGGGTTTTTGAGCGCTGGACTACTCGATGTATTTAATGCAGACTTAAGTGAAGCTTTGCGCATTAATGGTGTGTCGCATAGCGTAGAATAAGTAAAAATTGGATGTCAGAAAAACACGGTGGGTAGGAAACATATTCTAGTCAAGCTCCAACAATTTCTGCTGCGTCTGCAAACACCTGGTGGGAAGTGTTATGCTGGTGGAAAGCAATCTTCTTATCCGGATTATCCAATTCCAATTTTTAGTGAATTGTTGTAATTTTAACCGGTACATACTGGCATTAATGGTTTGACTTGGCGGTTCTTCTTAAGATGAAATCTGCCTTTTGGGTTGTGAAGCAGCGTTTTCCCCAGGATTTTCTTTTCTGAAAATTATTCTAAAAGATCCACTTTTCATTCCAGTAATATTTTTTAAATGCTTACAGCGTTTCTTAGGTGGAAATGGACATTACTGGTTTTTCTCGTTTAGAAGAACTTCTATACCGACCCGATAAACATGCTTATGCTGCTCACTGATAAGTTGAGACGCTTGATTGGTATCTTAGGTACTTCTGCAGACGACCAGAGCCTTAATGTCTTCTAAATCAAAGTTTCCTCTTCTGCACCTAGCAAACCACTTACAGAAGGTGCTTATTTTCTAAAGCATCATCACCATCCGAAATTCACCTAACAGTTTTATATGGCGTTTTTTTAACAGTAACAGCAGTAATAAAAAAACCATTAAATGATCAAAAAAGACAGTTCAGTCCAAGTTATTATTAAAATTCCTTGTAAAAATATGAGATCTTGAACGAAACTGAAATGAATGACCAAATAAACATTATTTTCAAAACAAAGAAGTATAAAATCTAATTACTGAGCAACTCAACTGGCTTATTGTACAACCCAATATATTTCGATTAACTGTACCTTGCTCAGACCTTTGTGGTTTTTCGGCATACTGAAAAAACCAAAGACAGTGAAGGAATGTCCTTGTTTGCCAGAAGAACTGTAAGACATAAAATGCGTCATTATTCAATCGATTCGAATTTTTTCCTCTTCATTAGAACTAGAGAAAAAATCCTGGCTTATACCTATAATTAATTAATAACTAACGCTAAGAAAATAATACAATGACTGCCTAGCGTGTTTCAGAAGAACATTATGAGCAAAAAACGTAATAACGGTACCTAGTTATTTATTGTTACAAAAAAAAATAGGTACTAACATACGCTGGCATTTTAACGTCGTCCCTGTGTATGAATAAAATAATCCATAAATTATGTAATATCAAACGTGAACAACAGACCAGGTAAAGTTTATGATAATCCATAAACGTTTTGCTTCCTCTTGATTATTATATTATTTTTAAATGTTTTTTTAAATTGAGATATATCATTTTGCTTTTAAAAGCGTTACCCTTTAAGAATGGAAACTTAATTATTTAAAATTTGGACGATGCTGATCATTTTGGTCTGCTTAACTTTTATGGATTGGCCTGTTAGTTGCGGTGCATAGTTGTCCAGATATTCACTTTTAAACTTACAATTATGTAACAAACAGTCAAACTATTTTATTTAAAAAAAATGTAGGTAAATTTAAAGCAGTTCTCCGTATTACTATTACATTTTGGTATATTCTTTATCATTAGTTAACATAAAATTTAATTATGTAATTTCTTGTATATAATTTGTGTACAATTTGTCTGATTTTTGTTATTTAGTCACTGAAGATGGTCTATATTAGACCGAAACGCATCTGGCAAAATAAACGCCTACTGTGGAAAAGACAATTTATGTCCTACCCATCAATTTAACTATTTCTATTTGGCAAGATACTTATCAACGTACATTTTTGATGGTTTTATGACGAAGTTTTAAAGTAATTAAAAAAAAAAATTCGAACGTCGTAAAAACCAACTCTCCAACTCTTTCACAATGTTATTTATGATTTCAATTGATAGTACCTTTCACTCTTTATATTTCTCGTATGCTTGACGGACGTGTGCTCTCTCTCTCTAATTTGTATTATCTATAATTTTTAGATATAATCTTTCTGCTTGAAATTATCTTTGGATTCTATCTATCAGTCAGGATAGGGAAACGGTCTCTCAATCATATACACACAATCTCTCTCTCCCTCTCACTCACTCACTCTCTCTCTCTCTCTCCCTCTCCCCACTTTCTCTCTACCTACCTACCTACCAATTTATTTATCTATCTATTCTCTCTCTCCCTCTTCTATTTGAGTCTATATATTTATCTATAAATTATCTACTAATATATTTATATATGATCTCTAAATCTATCTTTTTTCTGTGGTTTTATTTCTTTTTTGTCTATCTTTCTTACTCATATTTTTTTCTTGTCCTCTCGCTCCATTTATATCTTTTTCTTGATCCCGTGTGGAGAGATGAACTTGTAATTCGTTTAGTTTAAAACATTTCTTTCTCTCCTTCTCACCCTCTCTTTTTCTCTCCCTCACTGTCTCTCCCTCTCTCTCTCTCCCAATCTCGATCTTTCTCCTTCTCACTCACTCACTCACACTTAATTACTCTCTCTCCCTCTCTCTGTCTGTCTGTCTGTCTCTCTCTCTCTCTCTCTCTCTCTCTCTCTCTCTCTCTCTCTCTCTCTCTCTCTCTCTCTCTCTCTCTTTCTCTCTTTCTCAGTCACTCATTCTTACTCTCTTAATCTCTCTCTCTCTTTCTCACTCAATCACTCTTAATCTCTTAATCTCTCTCTCTCTCTCACTGTCACTCTCTCTCTCCCTCTCTCTCTCTCTCTTTCTCTCTTTCTCTCTTTCTCAGTCACTCACTCGTACTCTCTTAATCTCTCTCTCTTTCTCACTCACTGACTCTTATCTCTTAATCTCTTTTTCCCTGTTCTCTCTCTCTTTCTCTCTTTCTCAGTCACTCACCCTTACTCCCTTAATCTCTCTCTCTCTCTCTTTCTTTCTTTCTCTCTTTCTCAGTCACTCATTCTTACTCTCTTAATCTCTCTCTCTCTTTCTCACTCAATCACTCTTAATCTCTTAATCTCTCTCTCTCTCACTGTCACTCTCTCTCTTTTTCTCTCTTCCTCAGTCACTAATTTTTACTCTCTTAATCTCTCTCTCTCTTTCTCACTCACACACTCTTAATCTATCTCTCTCACTATCTCTCTCTCTTTTTCTCTCTTTCTCAGTCACTCACTCTTACTCTCTTAATCTCTCTCTCTTTTTCTCTCTTTCTCAGTCACTCACTCTTACTCTCTTAATCTCTCTCTCTTTCTCTCTTTCTCAGTCACTCACTCTCACTCTCTTAATCTCTCTCTCTCTCTCTCTCTCTCTCTCTCTCTCTCTCTCTCTCTCTCTCTCTCTCTCTCTCTCTCTCTCTCTCTTTCTCTCTCTCCATCTATCTTTCGTTATATATCTATTTGGGTCTTTATCTTACATATTATCATAATTTATCAATTTCTTAATTTAATATTATAGAAATTCATATTTTTTATAATTGTATTGCCATTTTAATTTTTCACGGAGATCTTCAACCGTTTTCTTCTACGGATCCCACCCCTGTCGAAAGCGTCCTCCGAAAACGTTGCAGGGTGGACAAAATCAGCAATCTATAAACTGGCAGATAAAAAAAAATGTTAACGCAAATTGGCAAATTCGCCTTCAACGGACTAGCAAATTTACTTAAGGCAATGCTGAATATGACAATTTCCATGATGAATTCGAAATTGACACAAATAATTACTCTTACCGCTTCGATCATAGGAGCAAATAAGGAATAAACTATTACCATTTGGATTTCACGCAATTTCGTCTAAAAATGAATTATAACTGTAATTGTACCGTTATACATTTGATGTTTTTTCAATGAATGTGCTATCTTTGTGACCTTCATCACGCTATAAATCAACAACCATTGGACAAATATGTCAAATATATACAATAATGTATTCACTGTCACCATTGTTGGCACTAGAAACGTCCCTAAAACGCACACATTTTAGACTTTGAATTTATATAATAAATAATATATTTACCTAGAAATATTCCCATTCGTTCAACAAAGTTCTCGTTAAAATAAAATAGCTCAATTATTGGTAATATGCAAAGTATTACGGAAAACATCTAAAAACAGATTTTTGTCATTAATTTATTTTCATAAGTTGAAAGTACTACTATAAGCTTGCGGCATGGTTCTTTGAGTATTTAAAAAAAATTGTATTTAAATTGGTAGTAGCCGTTTTTACTAATTTCAAAATCATTGAATTGAGTAAAAAGCTAGATTTTTTATACATAGATCACAAGAAATACTATGTGATGATAGTGAATCATTTTTATAGCAGCTGAGAAAAACTGTAAACTGCTTGGAAAACACACAGACTCTATTTACTGCAATCTATTATCGTTGATTTAATTTTGATTTTTTACATTGAATACAATTTATAAAAAAACGTAAAACAGCATTGAATTCATTTTTTTAGAAGCAGCTGAGAAGTTATTTTTAGTTTTTGCCAACCAATAACACTAATAACATGAAAAATCTACTTATTGATGGGAAATCCGAAAAATTGATGAACGAAGACCGCTCACCGCCTGTATGAAGGACAAGAGGTAACATTTTCGCTTAATGTTGAATTCTGTGATCGCCCTCCAGAACCTTTTCACTTTTGGATTTCTCCGAGGCTTTTCATTGCCTGCCACATCTTGAGAATTGCCAGGTTTATCAAGATTGTGTTTAGTTGAATAATAACTCATCCTATGCAACAAGAAGCAAGCTGGTTAGAGGAAAATTATCAACTTATGTCCTTCGTCGGTGATTATTTCTATTAAATACAAAGTAAATAATAAATAACAAACAAAATCATAACTAGTAGTACTTTTACTCAACCAAAAAAATACTGAATAAATTTACTTACTGACATTTCATAGAAAAAACATTAAAAAGAAGCACTTCGTAATATTGAGCAATCTAGTGACTATCATGTGTATGCAATCACAGAATGTTCTTATTTTATAATTTATAAAATCTTCCGAAGTCATATTGATTTTCGTTTTTTTTTACAATTTTAGGAAAAGTAAGTTTTTGTTTCAAAATTAAATTTGCATTTGTTTTATCGTCTTTTGCAAGAAATTAATTTTTATTTGGATGTATTTTATGGAATATTAGAATGTTCTATTACTTTCATTTTTAATACCTTGTACTGCCTTTTATTTTTCTGCGCAAATGCCTTAAGATTCTTGCAGAAAAATAAAGACACATGTCTTTAAAATAAACAATTGAGAGATGCGGTCTGGTGTGATGTAGGTTTCAGAAAAACATTTTCTTTATCGTGCCAACGTTTCGATCTTTATTGAGATCATCTTCAGGGCCCAAAATGTTTGTTTTCTGCGTAAGTGTGCCATCATTACGTGTTAGAGTGCCCAAACAAACACTTTGAGCCCGAAAGATGATCCAGATAAAGATCGAAACGTTGGCACGATAAAGAAAATGTTTGTCTGAAACCTACATCACACCAGACCGCATCTCACGATTTCTGAATAATCATCGACTAACGGTCACTAATCACCACACAATTTTGATAGAATTTAGAATAATACAAGAATGCCCCATTAATCGTTGACACGGCGCTCATCACTGAAAGGTAAAGGTCCCGGGTTCGAATCCAGCGGCCCTGTATTCGAACCCGCCATACTTTACACATACTTACAAATGGGATATAAAAAAAACATCGCCACCGCGAGGATTCATATAACCTCGTAATTGAAATGGCCAAAATCTTGCATGATCTCTAAGTAAACTGGATCAAAAACAGTCTCGGGATTTTTTTAACTCGGACAGGAGGTAAATAGGTTTTTATAATGACAGACTGCATACGCAATTAAGTCCGAGTGGAAACCAAGACAAGTGACCGAATTATGACCTCGTTCTTTGTGTACGAGTGTTAATTTTTACTGTTTTACCGAAGTTGTAAGCCGATTGAACATTATTGCATATATAATTATTGTATACAAAAACAATTTTATATTATAATAATATTATTAAACTTAAAACCTTAAATTTTTAATTGTTCCTAAAGCGGTTATTTAGTTTATTTATTGTTCATACGTATTTGTTGTACGTATTAAACTTTTGATTAAAGAACTTTATTCACATTTATGCCAGCGCTGTACCCGAAGTACATAAGCCACGAGAAGTCAGCTAGTGCTGTCACTCAGTGAGAAGAATTAAGGGAAGGTCTCGAGGTTATCGTCGATTAAACTTTGCGACAAAATTAAATAATATGTGTGGTGATTAGAGACCGTTAGTCGATCATTATTCGGAAATCGTGAGATGTGGTCTGGTGTGATGTAGGTTTCAGAAAAACATTTTCTTTATCGTGCCAACGTTTCGATCATTATTGAGATCATCTTCAGGGCCTAGGATTTACATACATTGTTTAAAGTTAACAAATACATGTAGGATGTGGCAACGAGTGAATTTATACAATACAAAAAATATTTTTAATAATCAATCAAAGTATAGGCTAAATACGCCGCTGCTCTACCAGTTCAGCTATCGTGACCTCGATCCACTCGGACACCAACACCCATCTCAACCTCACCTCTCAAATTTTCCCTCCTTTTTGCCATTTTTCAAATGTCGTGTAATCTATTTGATTTTCGCCGACAAATGAAATGGTCACGGAGAGCTTTAGTGATTTTTTTTAAATTTTAACTTTACTGATGTAGGGCTTTTTACGAAGATCGGAAGCTAAGACGACATTTTTCGTGGTATTACAAACCCTTTGAGATGTTACATGAATGCCTCTGAAGATCTCCAAAGCAGGGGAACTAGCAGTAAACATTCACACGTTGATGAATTTTCTCATGAGGTCTGTTTAATTTCTTTGGCCGCGCCGATCGGTGGTTACTTTCCAAAGTGTCGTTAGTTTAGTAGTCCTGAATGATCGTTTGTACAGTTGACCAACTTTTGAAAACAATTTTTGTAATTTCACTTAACGATTTTCCAAGATTACGGTGTCGCACTATAAACAGCCTAATTTCAACGGCACCTCCTTTACAAAAAAAAAATTATAAGATTATCACCTTGCATGTTTGATTCGTATGTATTACTATCTAAATTTGAAAATAAAAGGATAAACGGATTATTTCTTATTGTCCAAAAGAAATTAGCTATTTTTTTTATTTCAACCTAAACCTTACATAAAAGGATTAATTAATTGAAAGAAGTAATTTGGTCGATAGACCACGAAATATAATAGATTTACGTAAAATGAAGTACAACTTCACTAACAGGCCATTTCATATGTCTCCGAGAATCGATTCCTGATTACGTAAAAAGGAGGGAAAATTCGAAAGTTCGTAGGTTGAGATGGGGAGTTGTCCGAGTGTATCAAAGTCATGATTGCTCGAATGGTAGAGCAGCGGCGTTTTTAGGGTTCGAATCCCGCTAGTGACCCTGACTTTTTTATCTCAACCAATACCTTGTATAAAAATTAATTAATTGAGAGAAGTTATTTGGTGAATAGACCACTTAATATAATGTCTATATTAATCTTTGATTTAAAAAATAATAATATCATTCTTCAATCCACAAATAATACAGAGTTGAACTAAACTATAAATATTATGTTTTTCTCAGTTTTATAGTTTGTCATAAATAATTTATTTTTATTTTAAAAATAAAAAAATAATTTTTTGGAGGAGCGTATGCAGACTTGTTTATATGTTATTAGATGGTTCATGCATAATATCTTGAATTAGTAAAAAGTCCAAGTAAGTAACAGAGGTCGAAACAGTATGAACAATCAGGAACTAGTTAAGTTCAGATGTTTACATTGTTAATTTTTAAATTTAAATTTATAGGAAGGACGAAAAATGGCATGAGCTTTTTATCCTAGGCTATTAATCTATTTATACAGGCCCTGAAGATGATCTCAATAAAGATCGAAACGTTGGCACGATAAAGAAAATGTTTTTCTCAAACCTACACCAGATCGCATCTCACGATCTCCGAATAATCGTTGGCTAACGGTCACTAAACACCACACATTTTCATATAGGGTGTCCTTTTCAGATGGAAAAGATTTCTCTTGAACCAATGATGCTATAAAAAAAAACTAAAAAATACGGGCTCAATAAAATTTTATTCGAATTTCAAATGTTTACTTTATTTGGAGGAAAATAAAACAGGGTACTTCAGGCACAGTTCAACTTCAAAATTCCAAATACGGCTCTTTGCATCCTGACACATCGTTTTAATGGTTGTTTTACGCTGAAAATAGTGCAACGGATTTTAAATTGGTCAAAAAATGACAATGTTATGACAAAGTATTTAATCCAATTATCTATTTATATGTATATCTATCTATCTATCTATGCTTAACTATGTTTGATCTTTATATCTACATTAATCTTTATTTCGCACTCTCTTTTTTTATTAATCTGTTTACGTATAGCCCTCTATTTCTATAGAAATACCTCGATCTTCCCTTCTCATTCTCTCTTTTCGTCGCTCACCCTCTTTTTCCTATTTTACTGTTTCTCTCTCCCTCACTCACCCTCCCTCTCTCTTTCACAATCTCTCTCCCTCTCTATCTAATCTATCTAGCTCTTTCATTCTTCACCTCCCAAACTCACTCGCATAGATACAGAGCCACTCACCAAAAAAAGAAAAAAATTAAATTAAAAAATATATAAAAAACTAAAAATGAATAAATAATAAAATAAATAAAAAATAATAAAAATTAAAAAAAGTCAATTTTATATCCTTCAGTCATTTTTCGATATTTTACAAATCATCAGTTTTGGGTCTTTATGTATATTAAAATAATTATAATTATACCTCTGCAAAATTATAATTATTTTAATATTCATCTGCTTAGCACTTTTTCTGTTTTAATTTTGTTTTAATATTTTTTAGTTTTGTTTCAAATTTTTACCTTTTTTTGTAGAAAAATTATACAGAGTACCTCAGGCCTAGTTCAACTTCAAAATTTGAAATACGACCCCATACATCCTGACACGTCATTTTGAAAGATTTTTACGTTGAAAAAATGGTGCTATGGAATTTTAAATTGGTCAAAAAATGACAAAGTTATGGTAAAAAGTAAAACAAAAGTCATTTGGTATCTATTTATTAATGACATTTCATGTTCGAACTGCCTGCCTTGCATAAAGATGCAAAAATTTGCTCTTTCTAACCACTTTTCACCGGTGTCCAGATTGATAGAGTCAGGGGAGATGGATTGACAAGTATTTTTTATCCTTTGGCGCAGTTGTTCAACTGAGGTTGCTGCATTACAATTGGCATAGACACTTTTTTTTAATTGTCCCCGCAGAAAATAGTCAAGTTGATACCGAGGAGGCCTCAGATCGGGCCATGAGGTCCTATCCACCCATCCCGGAAGTGACGGTTCAAATAACTTTTCACCAGAATTGTTGTGAAGGGGAATTTATGCTTTTGAACTGGGATGTCTGGCGGAATGCAAATCCACTGGTCAAAAATGTCTAATATAATTGTTTAAAATTAATTAATTATTTTTGTCAATGGTGGCTATCGAATGGAGGCAGCCTTCAATGAATTCTGAATGTCGATGTTACTCCATATTCAGCCATCGGCCCTCTAACTTCACACACACTTACTGATTCATACACGCACAGCAGCATTAAAACAAACTCTACAACAAATTTATGTGCAATTAATAATTTATATATAAAATATTTACAAATTAAATATAGGGGAACACCCGGTTTTTCTTAAAAGGGGAAACAACAACAACATAAGGACTGTTTTTATATCTGGTGCCATGCCTACTCGTTCCCTATAAAGAGACAAGCCAAGACACTTGTTTATAGGACACTGATCGAATTTTCTCTACATGCGGGACACCTAGGTAGGATTTGTCTCAAAAACAGATGTCCTCCATCAATCGAGTATGACCTATCCACAAAGAGGTGAAGACGGTTCCCTTCCTTTAATTGCGAACTCTCGGTGGCATCGTTCAGTCGCGCTACGGACATTCTTTTATTACAATCTTTACTATACTAATATTAATTCCAATAA